CGCGGGCCCTGATAACTTAACTGAAATCGACATATTCAAAGGCCTAGATCGGACGAAAAGCCCTCTTCTCTTTCCCCTTATGACCTTTTACTTTTTTCTTATTAGATTATACCCGTGACAACATAACTTTGAAGCAAAATAAACAAACAAAAAAAGTGCATACTGCTGGTCTCCTTCAGACGATGAAGTCGAATAAGTAAGCATCACCTTTATGGTGTTGTGCTCGGCAGTGATTGGATGGAATTCTACGGCTGTGATCGGTGCATCTTTCGGATCATGTTCCCTCTGTGGTCCGCTGCCGCACAGCTCTTCTGCTGTTGTGTTGTCTGATCGTCGGCATCCAGACTTGTGGGATTTCAATTTTCTCTTCGACTAGCAGTATGTAGTCGAAACGTCGTGATCCACATCCCCAGTGGTATCATCGTGAGACAAACGAGTACATTTCTCTTTCGAAAAAATTAACTAGTTTATAATGCTGATACGCAAGGGGTATCCAGAAACCTGAGTAATTTCTGTTGTCATCATCTTTATGTTTATATTCAGGCCAAATGCTTCTCTGTTGTTCACATCAAGCATGTTATGGGATGCTGAATGCGACAGTATAGAGGAGTATTACAACAAATGTGTTGGTGTTCCGTTGCAACTTCTCCCGACACTTCTTGGCTTGAAGCTGGCTGTTGATCTCGAATTGGGAAGCAAGTATGCTAAGCTATTGAAATAGACCTAACATTCAGAGCAGTCTGCCAGAGTAGTTGTGCGGACCTGTTTGACTGAGGCAGTTTTGAAGCCATCTTTGAAGACATTTAAGGCTGTTCATATGGTCATGATTTCATGTGATAGAGTGTCTCAGCCCAAATCCTGGTAAACACTTCCCCCTGATCAAACGTTAAACCCTTTCAAATACAGCAAATGCAGTCTTCCTCAGTTCGCTGTTTTCAATCCTAAATTGCTATGATTTGTTATCGCGTAGAACATTCATAGAAATTTCAGGTTAAGATGCCCGCTGAGTCTGTCCGCTTTTACATCTTCAGTCAGCTGGCGTGCTGCAGGGATTAAGGTCTTCCACTATAACACGTGGCTTTATTACTTGTCTTTTAATTTATTTTTGTTATTGTTTTTGTTTCTTTTGCTTTGTTTTGTTCGGTGTAGAAAACTTCCAGATAAAGATGACTCTACAGAAGAGACTCTTTGCTGGGTCAAAGCGGACACTAAAAGGAATTTATTGACAATAGGTTAGTTGTGACGCACTGAAGGCAACATCTTTTTGTAGCTATTGTTATTCTGAGCAAGTACCCCATCTTAGCTTAGAAATGAAAAAACATCATTGAAACCGTAAAGAAAAGAACTGTTGGGAGGTGGGGGGACTTTTAGTTGGATCGGAGTCCTAACCAGGAAAAATGGAGATATTCCGAGCCGCTTCGCTTAAAGAGCCGAGACAAGTTCCAGCTTGTCTGCAAGTGCATGTTACTGAGGGAAGTTAAACTCGACTTGTGACTGATGCAATTTTACAATTACTTTTTTGCAATTTTAGATAAAGGCACTGACGTTGTCCAAGCCCTATTGCGTCTCACAGAGCGTTGCTTTAATCTAGAGAACGAGATCATGCATTGCACTGACGTCACTTCAACTTCGCCTCTGACCTTGCTTCGAATTATACATCAGGCACAACCTCTCTTCAAGGGAGGAGGTCATATCTATTTTTAAGTTAGCTGTTAGCTTGTAGGGTATGCGTGTTCATGTCGTTCGAGCACTGAAAATACGATTCGATTAGCCGTGTTGTATGAAACTACCACGAATTCCATTTCTTAATCCAGTTCTTTTATTTCTCCACGATGTTGGCATACGAAGTGATAAAGCTCGCCCTGTAAAGAAAAAAACGCTTGCGCTTCAGGAAAATTTTGCGTATTTTTTAAGAACCAATTATTACAAAATCATTTTCCAAAATTGTTTTAATCATTTCTATTGTCATTATCTTACTTGTAATAAACAATATATGGGCTCACAAATTTATTAGCTCGTTGATAATGAACTTCCTAATGATAGGACAGGGAGAGCATTTTATCTACATTTGTCTTAACAACCTGATCAAAAATCAAGAGGAATAAGAATGGATGTAATCTCCTACTTTTATGAATATGAAATATTGACGTGCAATTTGGGTTCATTGCGTTTTAGCCACCAAGATGTTTGACCTTCTTGAAAATGAGTTACCAGCTGATTTTAAGAGGAAGTACGGACTATCCTGGAATTTAATAAAGGCATCGTTGGGGAAAAAGCCAGGTAAGGACTGAGTGAACGTTTGGTAACGAAACTGAACCACCAAGGTTACGAAGCGGTAACATCGCCCCTTTTGTTTCTATGCCGCAAACTATGCGATCTACTCGAAATACTCGGATCTAATTAAAAAAGGCACTTAATTGATATGATTTGAGTTAAAACTCAAATCATAATGTAGTTACTGACTTTGTAAAGTCCAGATCTAAACTAGGAGCTGTACGTCGGTGAAACCCGACGATGTGGGTTGCAGGAGTAGCTGAGTCACTAAATCTATATTAAATGGCGGCGTCAGCACTCGAATCTTGAGTGCGTATGAGTAAATTTTGAAATGATTCGATAAGTCTTTAGCATTTTAACCCGCGCCACGCGCCAACTCGTCTGTATTTACAAAAATATGCTTCTGAATGACGAAGATGAAAATAAACAATGGTTTGAGTAGCACACCTCTCTCTTAAAGAGATTGTCGTAAATGAAATTCGAGGTCACAACTTAGGAACTTGAAAAATTCTAGAGAGTCTTTTGTTCCACGTCAACTAGTCATTTTATTCGTCTTCAGCTACAGAGCCCATCGTTGAAATAAAAGTTAACATCAAGATTGCGGTCGTGCATTGGTATGACGGAACACCAAAGCCAATGATTTGCATCAAGAGAGAACGCAGCAGTCCCGAGGTGGCTCCCTTTCAAGTGAGAAAACAAAATCACTCTGTTAAACTTATAAAATATTATTACGTAATACCTTTCCTCTGCAATTAATAATTGATTACATTATGAAATGAATATGTACACAATTACAGATTTGTTGATTTTTTTTTGTATTCATGTATGCATTTATCCATTTTATCTTTCTATGCAAGTGGTTGTTTACTATGGGCCAAGCTTCACAGCCGAATGCTTCAGTAATTTACAACAGCTTACGATATGATGATAACACCCATGTGGTGACTTTTCATCTACGCGAGGAAGACTGGAATGAGCTTAACTGCTCATCAACGATATCGGTGTCATCTAGAGAATTCATATCTCTCATCAATTGTGAATCAGTGAGTTTTGGAAACGAGACTGTGAAGAGTGTCAAACGGATTGATCCTGTCGAAACATTTGGCCTGTCTGCAAGGCAGACTTTCACCGTGGTGGAATCTGACGAAAAATGCCAAGTACTTAAGGTAAACTTGCATTATATATTGTTAAATTAATTACTGAATTAGCACCTACGGGAAGCTTAATTGTGGATTCCCAGACAAAAAACAGCTTTCAGAAGGCAGAAGATCAGAACTAAAAAAAGATGCGGATAGTAGAACTTTTGGTCTAAACTGGAGCTGGGACTTAGAGAACTTGGCGTTCCAAGAATTCCGAGGAGCACCCTCAGGGGAATCAACCATCGACAGTGCTTGGCCTTCAGTTGGTGTATTTACTGACAGTTTTCTTGCAGATTTTGACAATAAATAAGACCCCAATTAAATTGAAAGAACCGGCCGAGTTTGTTACAAGGTCAAAGTAAAAATGCAGTTTATAAGCACACAATTCAGAATTGACGCGCCAAAATAGTTGCTGATCTAGTCGATGTCCGATAAAACTGATATTATGTGATTGAAGCTGCATTCCAACTGAGGAAATTGCAGAAACCTCGGACGTTGTGATTTCGTTTGAAATCGTTGTTGTGTTTTCTTCCTATTTTTTTGTCTTCTTTTTTTATAGGTAATAAAAATGGAGGAAAACGCTCATTCTTACTCTGGAGAACTTGAGATACTGGACTCTTCCATCTGTAAAGCAAAGGAAATGAAGATCAGCCAGCCAGATAAGTCTCCAACGGGAGTCTAAATAGACTTCGAGAGGGCCACAAGGTGGGAAGCACTTTTTGGATGTGAAAAACGTTAGCAGTGATCATTAAGCACTACTTAAACAATAGAGTGTGTCTGTCGAGGGACTATCGGCTGATAGTTGCCCCGCGGAAATTAGATGTTCTTAAAACAAATATTTGCCCGAGAAGCGAAGCTTCGAGGGCAACTACGCTAATTGCCTAATTCAAAATGTGGTATACCAGGCCCCAGTTGAAAGTCCCTTGGGAACCCAAACGTACGTCGGCCTCACTGCGAACCAATTTAAAACAATATTTAGAAACCATACAGCTTCATTTCGACATGAGAACACAAGGAACGCAACAGAGTTGAGCAAATATATATGGTCCCTAAAGGATGCTGAAATGGAGTTTTCCGTGACCTGGAAAATAATAGCTCGCGCCAGGCCGTACTCAAATACTACAAAGAGATGCAATCTTTGCATAGCTGAAAAATTCTTTATCATATGCAAAACAGGGGCGGGCACCCTAAACAAAAGGAACGAACTGGCGAGTGCGTGCCGGCACTCAACTAAATATTTGACAAGGCATGCTCAAACCACCTACTTAAAAAAGGATCGTTAGTCAACTATTATCTTATGCACCTGATGAGAGAGGACTGTTAACCCTTTCGAAACAGATCTGTAGTGCGAAGTTTTAATGCGAAGTTTTAATTTTTATTTTCCTATATAATTGTATATATAGATTTTAACATTTATCCGCCGAAGACGAGGTGAATATCGTCGAGTAATCCCCGAGACGAAGTCGACGGGATTATTGGACATCATTACACGACTCGGGCAGTCGAGGGCCAATAACTAAAATCAACCAATCAAAATGCTCTATTGCCGGTCATTACTCTCTCAGTATTGGAGCGGGCACTGTCCCGAATCGTCCCGAATAATACCGCACTTGTGTCCCTTTGAACTTCAGTCGTATAATAAATCTCTTATTAACCAAGCTTGCTCGGGACCGTACTGGAAGAATATCGGCCCTCGGTCTTTTTTGTACGGACCTCGCTGCGCTCGGTCCGTACTGTCAAGACCTCGGGCCGATATTCTCCCAGTACGGCCCTCGCGCTTGGTTAATAAGATATATATACTCACCTTAAGAAGGGGAAAAGCTGTTCCTTGCTTGGTGTGATCGTGAATGTCTTCCTCCACAAATCCCAGCAACACCTGCAGGTGCTTCTCAGCGACTGTAAATTGCTTGAAGTCCCGTATGATAACGGTCATGGCCTGGAAATGACAATATAAATGCGACTGTAAGGATGTGTAAAAAAAACCACAACAAAGGCAACAATTGATTTGTATCACTAATCCTCCATTCAAAAACTTACAACGTACAAGTCATCATCCAACAAACAAAATCGGTAGGGCAACTCAAAGCAAGTCTAAAAGTTGAAGTAGTCGGGAGAAAAGTTANCTTTGTCGATATGAACTCGTCCAAGTTCCAAATTTCGTGCAAAGTCGGAAAAATATTCTATAACATTTCCAAACGAAGGGATGGAACTGTGGGAGAACTTGTTATAAAAAGCTTGGCTCCACTGCCTTTCCATGCTATGCCAGAATGGAAGGGTAAACTCACTGATTTAAGGTATGTATGAAAGAAAAATGTAATGAAGGATTTCTAAGGCGCCATTTTCATGAATTGGAAACGCTTTAGAACATTTTGCAGAGGACTTTGGCCGGACTGTATTGAGCAGTTTACCAGGTTTTTTTTTTTTTGAGGAAATATTTGCAGACGCCCCTAATTTCGGAATCAAGGCCGGACCACAACATCGACGCCACGTTACCTATTCTTTCCATAAAGTGCATGGATTCTTAACGTCTTCTGCTAATTCTTAACCAGTACAGAGAAGGTGTAGGAGATGGGGCTTACGCTTTATCATCCTTATCCCAGAAAACGAGAACATATGAAAAATACAATACATAACGGGTTACTTAGATAGTATGAGCAAGGCAAAAATTTAAACTTGTGATAAGTTCAGGACAGGTTATAGTACGTTTAAAAATGTTTAAAAAACGAGCAGCAGTGGTTTATTAGGTTTGAAAAAACCAGGCGTAGCCGAGTGTTTTTAGAGCCGATTAAACACGTGCTGCGAATTTTTTGAACGGCTTTAAAAACTCATGCCTCTCGAGAGATTTAGATAAAGGTGACATGATTAATAATTAATATAATTAAAAGATTAATTATATTCAGATAGAAAAAGTGCTCTATGTTCGGCTGCTGTCAAAGGTTTAGGAAGCTTTTACTTGAAATACCGCCATAATGCGTGTTTAGAGAACCTAAAAGGGGGCTTACAAAATATTCGGCGAGTGGCAAGGTTCAAGAAGATATAACGACGTCAACTTTGTGGAAAGAGGATTCAAAGTTGAACTGAACACTGTTTAAAGCTTAGAAACGAATGTTTAGAATGAGCGTTGAGTCCTTGAATTTTTGGTTGACAAAGTTTTTCGCGAAAGTGTGTAAAGCGAAAGAAGAGAGCGCTATCCTCCTTGAAGTTTGTATAGTATCTGCTGTGGATTGCAGCATCATTTGGAAGACTGTAATGGAAGCAACGCCATTAAAAATTTTCTGCAAGGATGACTAGTGACCTCTATATAAAGATCGCGAGTGACCTTTATATAAAGACCTTTTCATTTGAGAATAGGCGATAACTGCATTGCTTGCACAGAGGCGGTGTGCGCACTCCGATTGCATTGCATTGTGGTAACGTTATATTCAACATGGCAGTAAAAGCGGCAGAAATGGACAGATTTTGACTGAAAATTCTGTAAAAGCTAGGCCGTTTCTTTTTCCTTCCCCTACAGAAGAATGTAATTTGATATATTCTGAATTTGTAGAAGTAATTTTTGTACGTATTTGTCTCGTATTCTATCGTTCTCAAGGACAAACGCAAGCACTGATTTTATCGCATTCAATCTGAGACCGGTTTGCGAAAAGATCAAATTCGTTGTACGTCGTAGTTTGAAGCCTTTCAAAAATTTTGAAGATTTTGAAGAATTTGATCCTTCTTCAACAACTTTGACCAAATGCGCCCAAACGCGCTCCTGAGGTACAAATGTTTTAGGCATTTTAAGTGATCGTGTTTGAGATCTGTTATGGCAGTGAAAATGCCTATTGTTGCGTTTAGTGTGTCGCGTTACATAGCGTTACTACTGCAAGGAAATTTACTAGATGTGCTCAATCGTGTTGTTAATCTACTTTCCTAGGTGAGGCAAATTAATTAATCGCGAGTGTTGTATGGTAAATCTACTATCTTGATCATAGAATGAAGGACAGTTTACTAGTTCTTAAAGTACATGAAAACCTCTACCTTGCGCGAGGCGACACCGCGATAAACAGAAAAGCAAAAGGCACTCGCTCGTTGAATGGTGTTGATAGGCCTGTGCTTCTCCTACCATTCGCTAGCGCCTTTAAATCTTCTACCCTCACAGTGTAGTTCTTATAAGGTTATCTCTTAACGACTTTCCTTTGCGATGTGATAGTAAGGGTCAGTTTTAAGGTGTCATTTCTCCATCTGTATGTTATTGAGGTTTAGCAAAGTCGGATGAGACTTTGGATGTGTCGAAAATGAAGACCCAAAAACGAAGACCTAAGACCTAAGACTCACTGGTCTAAAAGGAAGACCCTGTGGTCTAAACACAGGTAGCCCAAGCTTTTCAACTTTTTCATGTTTACCAAAGCTTGGTTTTTGATTGGCTGACCAAATACAAAGGTAATCGATCTTCGGTGGAGTGGCAGGAGCGAGTGTTTTTTTATAGGTTTTACAGGTCCTAGGGGAGGGCGGGGAAGTAGTTGTCATCTTGAAAACTGACCCCAGAACACCTAGCGAACCCACTTCGGAGTCGGTTAACGATTAAGCTCGTCGGTTGGCTGCACGGCTTATCGATCCAAGCTTCAATCGATAAGAGTTGAGGGCGACGAAATGGAACTTTCGTGGCAAATTGTTCTTCGTGCATTGGGGACTGAGTACTTTCCTTCGGTTGGCTATCTAGCCGATTATCGAATATGGTATAGGGGCAGTTTGAGGGGATTTGAAACGTTCTAACTTTATGTTTTAGCCCGAACACTGAGACCATATCTCAGGTAGTCGACCGCCATGATTTCCAACCTTCGCTTCTCTTTAAAAAGAGAAAACCAGGATTTAAAAAAATCGCTTAAATCAAGTTAAATCGGTAAAATAACGACACCAGGAGCAAACAACACACGTATGCCTAAAGTAAGCCATTTTTATTGAATATTTTCACTTTTAACTACCGCTATGGATATCCAGTAGAAAATCCCATACAAATCCTTATAAATCGATATGCCATACTGTCTTCCTTGTGTGGTTCAATTAGAGAGCTTGGGCTATCTGTGGTCTAAAACAAAGACTCTGTGGTCTAAAACGAAGACGCTGTGGTCTAAAACGAAGACCCCGTTGTTTACAACTTGACAGTTACGTTATCTCAGTCGGTACACCATATGTCAAATTGTGTAACATATTTAACTTCTAAGAATAAAGAAATATACGTTTTAGTGACGATTTTGGTATATTTTGTCGTCACAAATATTCTATTTTTCAAAGGCATATTGAGCAAATTACGATGAGGTGACTTAATTACTTTGCTACAAAAAGGCGCAAAGGTCTTTTTGACCTGAGAGAATCTATTGAAAACATACTACATCAGCACTTGATAGAACCTGAGGTAAGCCTAGAGGAAAAACATTTCTTAAATGTATCTTCCAGTGAGAGTTTCAACCGTTCTTTCCGCTCATTGTTTTGAGTGACTAGAAGGCCTTAATGAATTACCGTCTCTAACAAAGCGAACGTTCGACGCTTTTTCAGATCCCCGGTGATCCTTATGATGCCGGGGATAGGCGAAAGCTTGGTAAGTTTCAAAAGCTTCTATTCCAGTAAGTAGGTTGGCAGGGATTTTCAAACTAGGATTTGGAATGAGATGTTTTCCGCCTAAGGCAGTTGCAGGTTACGAAAAGATATTTGTCACTCCCGACTCAACCGGGAAGTTTTTTTTTTTTTTTGTTTTGTTGGCCACATGGCCGTGGACTTCCCACGTGCCAAATAAACCGAGCATTTGTCAAGAATTTGTTGTTTTTACGCCATTCACTTTTTGGCTTGACGCAGACTTTTCGAAACCTTCACAGGCCAGGATGGAGGCTCAAAACTGTAGAATTTGCTGGTGTGACAAAATTTCTGTTGGTCGATTGTGAGTTGAGAGTTTCAAAAGTTTGCTTCCTGAGGAATTGATGACTATTTTCATTTTTGATGTACTCATTCACGAGAGCCACAATCATTATACTCGGGAACGTTTGTTCTAATGATATACGAGTTCATTCTCAACTCTAATGATAGTAGTTTTTTCGTTGAATGTTTAAGATTCCCAAGGTACATTATGTTGACGAACGAGGAATCATCGAAGAACCATATGACTCAGCGGAAGACATGCTGGAGAAGAAGGGCTTCGTTATCAAAGTAAAGGAAATGTACAAGTGGAAAAATTTGCCTTTGGCTAAGGTTATTTTCTGCGATTGTCAGAGATTTGCAAAATTGATTCGTAAGAATCCGGGAGACATTCGACTATTGGCAGAATACTATAACCGAATTCCTGGTCATAAAGTCAACAGATTTGCAGCTAACCAAGAGGTAAGAGGTAATTGATTTTGACGAAACAACTTCTGTGAGATATTGTATGGTTCTTTTCTCCTGCTGTCTCTTCCACTTCATGTACCAGGTGAAAAGGCAAGGATATGGCCCATGGTTGTTTTGGTGATAAAAATAATTATAACAATAACATTTATGATAATAATAACAATAATATTAATAATGATACTGCTAATAATAAACACAGCAATTACCATGACAATAGTAATGATAACAATATAGAATGAATGAATTAATTTGAATGTAAAGAAAATCACATAATTTATGTGTCCTGCGTTTTTAAGAAATGTATTGAAGTGATCCTCGCAGTAATGAGCACTACTTATGGGGTGAAAAAAAATTCAGACCCCCACTGGGGGTCTGCGATACCGGTGCATTGCTCTACAAACTGAGCTAACAAGCCAACTGAGAGCTGTTTATTATGTTGGTTTGTATCAAACCCGTGAAGTGATGATATCCTGTTCTACATTAATGATGTAGTAGTGAAAATGGGGCCCGAATAAAATACAGGCCCCTACTGGATTTGAACCCATGACCTTTGCGATACCGGCGCAGTGCTCTACCAACTGAAGTGACAAGCCAAAAGAGCCAACTGAGGGCTGATCATTATGTCGGTTCGTATTAAACCCGTGAAGTGATCACGAATTAATGAATTTGAATATATGAAAATCATAAACGTGTACCTCGGTTTTAAGAAATGGTAGCTGGTCATTATTTTCACCCCTACATAACTAGTGTTCATTACTGCGAAGATCACTTTCATACATTTCTGAAACCGCTGTACATATATATGATTTTCATATATTCAAATACATTGATTCATCACTTCATAGGTTTAATAAGAACCAACATAATGACCAGTTCCCAGTTGGCTTCTTACCTCAGTTTGTAGAGCAATGCATCGGTATCACAAAGGTCACGGGTTCAAATCCAGTAGGGGGCTGATTTTTTTTGTCAGGCCTTATTTTCACTACTACACAAGTGGTATTCATTAATATAGAATAGGATAAGGATGGTGATGATGATCAAGTTAACGATAAAGATAATTATGATAATATGAAATTGATAAAGAATTGAAATCAAGCTGAAACGACTTTTTGCTTACATATAGGTGTGATCTTTTTGTTGCGTTGAAACTATAAAAATGGATTATAGTATGTCTTATTTTTCAACAGGAGAAGGTCTTATTTCGTAAAATGTTATACACAAATGCAGCCCGAGTTCCTCAAGATGATGACTATGTTGTGTGGAAGAATTCTTACATCTCCCCGTTGTTTCCACGAGACAGCATCGGAAGTCTCATTAGTAAGTCAACTAATAAGAGAATGCAACTCTTTTTGTAATGTTCGTTCAACATCGCAAGAAGCAAGACGGCAAACATCATAGCTGTTCACTACACAACTTTTCTCAGGATATCTGACATTGCGGGCACCCGATATATTCACTGCACTTGTTATCTCAGGTTTTTTTGAAAAAAATTATACAACAAAACAAAAAACACGGCTTAAGACGTATTCAGAAATTTAATTCAGGGAGCAGAATATGTTGACAAAGCAATATAAAGATAGGAGGACTGACTTTAACACATGAGTGGATTGCAGCTAACACCGTCGTGTCAAATGCGACTAGGTAGCCGGAGATAAGTCGTTTTGAGCGCGCTCACCCTGAAATTGACCGTCGAACATTATTTTATATGTGATTTCTTATCAACTTTAATAACACATCTATTGATCCAGAGAAAAGGAATATAAATTATAATTTTGTTTTGTTTTTTCTGTTATAGGAGACCTTAAGAAAAGAAAACATGGTATGGAAAGTCCTCGACTCAGTATCCCTAACTCTGCTGAACCTGGCCATGTGGATGCATCCTCTTCGTCAGGAGGTAGATCTGTCTCCTCTGAGCATTCTGCAGGCTTCTCCGACCCATTTCAAGGTTCAGCTTCCCACAGGGATCAAGAATGCGCCTTTTGCCATTCAAAGACCGGGACTCTAAAAAGGTGCCTTGGATGTAAAAAAGTGTTTTACTGTGGTAAAATGTGCCAGAAAAAGCATTGGAAGAAACACAAAACTGACTGTAAGAGTAACAGGAAACTTTGAAGACGTGTGTGAGTCTTCTTGCAGTTCATAGAGACGATCAGAAACACTGAATTACACAACTAAAACGTTGCGTGAAGTAAGTTTGAAATTCGAAATTAAATTGATTGACACGAAAGTCGCGAAAGCACAACATCATGAACAAAATGGTGGGCAGGTTAGAAGTAACAACGTTTTAATCCAGAATAACAACAACAACAACAAAAAACAAACAAAAAAAAGCACAAGTAACAGATTTATTGAAATGTAGGAAATTGAGGTCCTGAAAAAATCTGTCTCGGAATTTACGCGACAGTTCGTACGAAAGACGGGGAGTTTTAATTAAGAGCGTACTAGCCTTCGTGTCAGTTGGTTAATCATATTAAGCAAATGTTGATCGAGAAAGAGCGCAAACACTCAATTATTCCTGACAGAAAGTTTAAGGCTCGAAGCAAATTCTTGCGAAAAACCTACGACGACACCGACATTGCATAGGCAAGAGGCCACACTGGTGATCCCTAACACGGATGAGAGAAAAACAGAGTCAAATTTTTCCATCTATATCTACGTGAATTTTCTCGAGGAGTTTGGAATAACTCAGCATTCGTTAAATTTTWAA